AGCTGCAGCTTACAAGTTTTGGTACTTAGAACTGATTGATAACCATAGTATTATGTATTTTCTAATTTCCAATTTAATTTATTAATTATATATTTTATTCATGACATTCATAAAGATGATGTTCTCTAAACTCCAAATGTATGGCTTTTCATATTAGATTGAACCATATGAACATTGCTAACTTTCCACCCTTTTTTTTAACCTATAGAAATGGCAGTGTTGGAGCACCTGGGTGGCTCAGCCAGTTAAGCGTGTGCCTTCGGCTCAGGTCATGATCCCAGGGTCCCGGGATTGAGTCCTGCATGGCCTTCTTGTTCAGTGGGGAGCCTGCTTCTTCCTCTCCCTCTGCCTGCTGCTACCCCAGCTTGTACTTGCTCGCTCGCTCTCTCTCTCTCTCTCTCTCTCTGTCAAATAAATAAATAAAATCTTAAAAAAAAAATGGCAGTGTCATATGGCTCAACATAATAGTTTTCTTTTTTAACTGAATTTCATTTTGGTCAAGGAACAAAACTGTATATAAATCCTTTGAAAGTTTTAAAACTGCTTGCATTGGCAGCACATAGACTAAAATTGAAAGCTTTAAGACTAGCTGTATATTATAGGAAGAGAGCTAGTTTTTGTAAACATTCCACGTATGCTTGAAAAAATGTATTCTCCATTTATTGAATGTAGTGTTTGTGTTTTAGGTGAAGCTTGTTCATTTTACTATTCAAATCTTTATATCTTTTTTTTTTTACACCACTAATCTCTGCATCACTGACAGTATGTTAAAGTGTTTGACACTGATGGTGATTTGTCTATTTCTCCTTTAATTTTGTTAGCTTTGATGAGACTGTGAGTGTGCACAACTTCAGAATCTTTATATCTTCCTAGTGAACTGAACCTTATATCCTAATGTAGTTGCCTTTCATAATGCCTTTTGTTTTAAAATGTGTGAAATCAGAGGCACCTGGGTGGCTCAGTCGGTTAAGTGTCCGACTCTTGATTTCAGCTCAGGTCTTGATCTCACGGTTGTGAGTTCAAGCCCCATGTTGGGCTCCACACTGGGCATGGAGCCTACATTTAAAAAAAATTTTTTTGTGAAATCAAACAATTTTGGTTAATATTTGGTGTATCATTTTTATTTTTGAGATTCAGTCTTTCAGGGTTTTTTTAAAAGATTTTATTTATTTATTAGAGCACAAGCAGGGGGAGAGGCAGAGGGAGAAGCAGGCTCCCCACCGAACAGAGAGCCTGATGCAGAGCTCTATCCTAGGACCCTGGGATCATGAACTGAGCCAAAAGCAGATGCATAACAGACTGAGCCACCTAGGTGCCCTTCTTTTGGTTTTAAATGCATCTCGTGAAAGAGCATAGAGCTGGAATTCATCTTAACCTGTCAGTCTTTGCTTTTAAACTGTAGAGTTTAATCCATTTATCTGTATATTCATTGTGATTATTGATATCAATATTTTCTACTGTCTTGCACTGTGCTTTTTATTTTACCTGCTGCTTTTGTTTGTTTTCCCTGCTTCTTTTTCTTACTTTTGGGATAAATGAGGTGTTTTTTTTTTTATTCCATTTTTTCTTCTAGACTGTGAGTTAAACCTGCTGAGTCCATTCCTTTAATGGTCACCCTAGCTATCTTATTAGGCACACTTAAAGTCAAGAGCTAATCAACATCTCTATTCCCTCCTGCAAGAATATAAGGAACATAAAACTGCAATCACCTCCCTCCAAATTTATGTGTTTTTATTATTCAGTATTAGGATTCTAGCTTGCTTTTCCATCTCACAGATTAGATACTATTATTACCATTTTATATGATCAAGCTTCACTTAGTTTTACCCATTTGATTTTTGTTCACTCTACTTTTTTAACATTTCAAAATGTTGCACAAATTCCCATTTCCTGGAATACTGAGAATTTACTTTAGTGATGATCTTTTGATGGTAAACTCTCTCAGGTCTTTACTTAAAAATGTCTTTATCTTTTCCTTTTAAGTTTTTAAAAATATTTATTTATTTGACAGAGGGAGAGACAGTGAAAGAGGGAACACAAGCAGGGGGAGTTGGGGAGGGAGAAGCAGGCTTCCTGCTGAGCAGGGAGCCCGATGTGGGGCTCGATCCCAGGACACTGGGATCATGACCTGAGCCGAAGGCAGATGCTGAGCAACTGAGCCACCCAGGTGCCCCCCTTCTTTTAAATTTTTTTTAAAGTTTTCATAAGGAAATTTTCAAGCACATGAGAATAGAACAGTGTAGTGAATCCTTATGTCATCAACACTCAGCTTTGATAATTATCAATATTTTACCTAACTTGATCATCATAGCCTGACCATCTAATACGCTATCCACATGTGGCTATTTATGCTAAAATTTCAAGGAGAACTGTTACAGATTAAGAGACTAATGAGGCAATCCCATTGATTAAAAACGTTAACAGGAAGTTTTTAGCATTATCACAATACCTTACCTCATCCCTCTAAATGAACAGTATTTCTTGATATTTTCAGTGGTCTTTGGCTAAACAAATTGGGCCACACATATAGTTCCACAAGTTGGGTTTATCACTCCTTGCAGCAAGGCAGAATGCACAGCATTGTGCCCCGTGGGGCCTGTCAGAGGGTGTGGGCTTGTACCAGGTGCTTTTGGGAGAGGGTTCTGCTCTGTGATTGGGTTTATCAGTAAAGCTTACCTAGAAGGAAGGAAAACTACACCAAGGGGGAAGCCGTAAGTGATTTCTAAAGAAGCAGCAGTGGCACACGTTGCCCAGAAAGGGGGATGATTGTTCATTTTTGAGGCCTAGATAATGTTTATGTATTGTTTGTGTTCAGACATGATTACAGAATGGCCGTGGTTTTGTCTTAGTATGTCATGGTCACAGAGCAGCCCTGTCTGCTGTTGCCATTCTGTGAAGTTGCTTATGTTCAATGGGAGAATGCACGCACCTAGCTGACAGTACCAGGGCAGCTCCTGGATGTCGGGCTGCTTTTCTCTTTACCAGTATCATCTAATACCCAGTCTGTGTTCAGTTCCCCCAAAATGTCTCAAAATGTGTTTTTACAGTTGGTATTGTCTGAATCAAAGGCCCACATGCTGCAGTGGGCTGTTACATCTCTTGACCAGTCTCTTTGCCGGTAGTAGTCCTCCTTCTCTGTCCCCCAGACTGGGTTTGGTTGTTTATAGCTTCATGATGTCCTTTTAACTTGTCCCTCAGTTTCTCCTCTTCCCCCCTTCTATAAATTGCTAATTACATGAAAGGATTTGTCAGGGTTTTTTTGCAAAAGTACTTCACAATTGGTGCTGTTTCTTCTTACATCATACCGGAACTTCTCTGCGATCCAGATACCTACTTTGTGATGTTAAGATTTATGAGTTGGTTCTAGTGTCAGCTTGATCCTTCCTTTATAAAGTTCTCCATCTTGTTTATACAGTCTTCATTTGCCCCCTGGTTAATAAGAGTCCTTATTAATTACAAAAGGAGAAAATGATTACTTAGTAGGAGAACCTGTGGCATGCCACCTTAACCGCTTGATTAAAGTTACCACCAGTAACAAGACAGACTGGATCATATGCCTCCTGAAGTGGCTCACTGAGAAGGACACACATCAGCTGTGTAATCCTTCCAAAAAATGAACTTTCTGAATCTAATCATGAGAAAACACCAGACAAGCCAAAATTGAGGTGGAGTCAAACATCTGACCTGGACTCTTCATATCTTGAAAGATGAAAGGCTGAAGGACAGGTCAAAGGTCAAAGAAGAGTAAAGAACCATGGTTTGAGGGCATGGTCCCATATGAGAAATTTACAGAGTGATTGCTATAAAGGACGTTATTGGACCAGTTAGTGAAATTCTGCATATGGAGTGTATGTTACATAGTAATATTAAATCCACGTTAAACAGTCCTGATTTTGCTCGTTGTGGTTACGTTAGAAAATGTTAAAGTTCCTGCGTCACTCTGAAGTATATAGGAGGAAAGGTTCATGACATCTTCTGTTTCCCCTCGAATAGATTCTTAACATTCTTGCTGAAGGAGAGAGGGAACACGGGTAGAGAGAGAAAGCAAATTTTAATGGTGAAGAGTCTGTGGAAGTTCACATTCACACCATTCTTTTCTTTCAATGTGAAAGTTTTTTCAAAATTAAAAGTGAACATCCCCATTCACTTTCCACCTAATAATTTAGTAGCTGTTAATTGTCGTTGCCATGATCCATTAATTTACTAGTGCTTGCGAAATGGTGACTTTCTGACTAGCATTTTCTTTATAATAAATGAAGCTTCTTGTAAAGCTTGTATGATTCTTCTGTAAAGAAGAACTTTGCCTCATCACAACAGTTTGGCAATCATAAAATATTGTTCACAAAGGAGAGAGGGATATATTCTTGATTCTTTCCTTTTAGAATTTTCAGAATTATGAGTTGATATCCTGGCCTCCTCCAGTACTGACCATTAGGGTTTTTTTTTTAATATCGTTATGAACTCATGATTTTGCTTTAGATTTGATGATTTCAACACACTGCAGTCGTTATTTATTAAATTGTTCCATCTTAAGCCAGGGGGAGCTCTTTTTTTAAGTTTTCTCCTGTATCTTTTTGACACAACCCCATTAGCCTTTGCTGGATTTCTTGCTTTCTGCTATATGATGTTCCAGACGCACCTTGAACATTTTGTGTTCTACACTGGACTCAGCTGTTTCTCAAATGAGCCCTGGTTTCTTTCATGGGCAAATGACATTTAGAGGCATGTTGGTACTAGGGGGGCCCATTGCTCCTCAGTGCCTATTGACTGTAGACATTTTTAGTAGTTCAGACTGGAAAAAAAGTTTAAAAACGAAAAATAATTGCATTCTGTATTCCTGATGCCTAGTTCTTGGATAGGGAGGTAAAATCCTAACAGGGAACTGTACTGTGTGTGTGGCGGGGGGGGGTGTCCCTCTGAAGCTAGTATGAGGAGACTTCTAGGTTGTATGTGTTGAGTATCTGTTAAGTCTAGACTGTCATGGCTTCTTTCTTCTCTAGGTGTGCTTGCTCAGAATCCTGTTTGGTAAGGAGGGAGACATACAAGAGGAAGAATGGCTGCAGGATTGCTGACAACGTGGTCGCAGGTATAGAGGAAATTACTCTGTTTCCAAAAAACATTGCTGTTCCAAAGGACACATCTCTTGCCCCTGACCTACAGCTTCAACTGAACTGGCCTCAGGCTTCCCCAGTTCTCTGGGCCTCTTAAAACGAGACAAAAAAAATGCCTTAGGAAAGGTTTCTATTACTACAGCATTTGTTAATTTCTTTTTTTCCCAGATCTTCCTCCAGGTTGAATATTAGTTCCATATTCTGCTGGGTGCTATGCAGGACAAGAGAGATTTTTCACTAGGAAAATCATTCATTTTCCGAGTATTTTTCTCATCCAGCAGTACAGTCAATCTATACTCGATCTTGACTAAGACTGGAAGAGTCCTAGTGGTACAAAGATCAGGTCAACTATATATTAGACAAGCTGGTAAAAGCATGAGTCTGGATGAGATAGTCTAGGCAGGGCGAGCGAAAGAAGAGAATTCCAAGAACTGAGCCTCGGGGCAGGTAATGGGAGGCCTCCAAAGCACATGTGAGGCTGCTGTGTGCTGGTCTCCTTCCCCAGTGCTGGCAGCCTCCCCCGCCATTCTTTTGCTGCATTGTTAGAGATGGGCCTTGCCTGAGCCACAATCCTGTGTTTCAGGATTCAGTGACCTTTGAGGAGGTGGCGGTGGACTTCTCCCAGGAGGAGTGGGCACTGCTGGACCCTGCTCAGAAAATCCTGTACAGAGATGTGATGCTGGAGAACTACAGGAACCTGGCCTCCGTGGGTAAGATTGGCCTTATTCCTTCATATTCTCATTTCTTCATGCAGCAGATGGTCCTTCCTCACATATGTTCCAGGGTATGTGAAAAGAATGACAATACATGATAAACACAAAATGAATGGCCCCAGCCCTTGTGGGGCAGTCTCATGGCTTCCTCTAAAAGTGCACTGATTTCATCAAAAAAAAAAAGTGCACTGATTTCATTTTCATTATTATTACAAGATTTAGGTAATTTGCAGTATGTGTCTGCTCTTGGGCTTGGATTTCGAGGGTCAGTTCCCTGTGGATAGGGCATACATAGGTGTCTGTTTGGGGGATCGTGTAAAAGAGCTCAGATTTGATTCTTTGGTCACTCCTGAAGTTGTACTTGCCTGTCTTCAGAATCCCTAAATATCAAAGTATCGGAATCAGTTTCATGGACAGATTTCTTGTCTCCTTCACAGTAACCCCACCTCACATGTCTTTCTCTATGAGCAGGGTATCCTCTCTGCAAACACAGTCTGATCATGGAGGTGGAGCAGGAAGTGCTGGGGACTGAGGAGGGGGCAGTTCTCCAAGGTGCCTGTACAGGTGAGCCCCAGGCAGAAAGGAGTCATTAAGGAGCAGGCATGGTGAGGGATGGTCCATTTGGGACTGTCAGTGTGTGGCAGAACTGGGCCATTATGTGAGCTTTCCATCTTTCACCATCTTGCCATTCATTCACATTTTTGTGTGGTCTAAGAGAAAAAGCTGTTTTAATTCCTCTTTCAATTTGACATTTCCTTGAATACATTTGTTCCATTTTCCCTACTTTGCTTTCAAGATAATACACTCTCCTATTATTTCAAACCTCCAGAATCCTTTCTAAGTAAAATACTTCCCATTTCCATTGCTTGTTCCTATCATTGGCATCTTCTCCCAGAGCCAAGTTCCTGGAACTGTCCCTCTGGCCACAGTTTACATCTTCTCGTTCACATTTCCTTTCCATATTTAATGTTACTGAAAACAAATCCATGGGGTGCCCACCTCCTTTTTTCTGTTATCCCTATTTTTTATCCCAATAGTTACAAAAATTTTCAATTTCAGATTGGGATATTCAACTGAAATCAAAAGATGGAATTCTTATGCAGCATGTTCCTGGGGAAAAAACTTGCAATGGCATAAAAACGGTAAGATTCACCAGGAATGATTTCTGATTTTTTTTACAGTAGGAGAAGTCTTTGAATGCCATTGCGTTAAAGCACCAGCTTCCAAATGAGGCAAGACAGAGAGGCAGGTGGCATTCACTCACCAGAAAGCTGTCTCAGGAGAGTCTTCCTGAATCTCATAAAATTAGAGAAATCTCTCAACCAAGCTCAACACTTGCTGCCCCACAGAGAACACCAAAAAGTAAACATTTATGTAAATATGATTCCAGTGTTAAGTGTTTAATACATAGTTAATTCATTCTTTACTCATTATTCGCAAAACTCTGTATTTAGGATGCCCTTTGTTAGGAATGATGGAGTCCTGGGTTAGAGCATTCAGTTGATCCAACTTGAAGGAACTAATAGGGAAAAAAAATCACATACATGCACTGAAAATAGTAAAAATGTCAGTCATAATCATGTACTTCCTATGTATGGCAGAATCCACACACAAAAGAATTCCCATGAGTGTAAAGAAAGTGAGAAAGTCTTTAGTCACTACTTACTCCTTGTTCTACAGGCACCAACTCAACCTGGCAAGAAACCCTTGGAATTTGATCATTGTGGAAAATTCTTCAGAAAGAACTATCACTTTATACATACAAGATATTGGGAGGGAGAGAAATGCTACAAATATAAAGAATATGGGAAACACCTTGGCCACACCTCAGCTCTTAGCAGTCATGTAAGTACTCACAGTGGAGAGAAAACTCGTGAGTTTAATGATTGTGGCAAAACTTTCAATCAAGAGGCATCCCTTAGGAAACACTTAAGGACTCTCAAAGGAGAGAAATCTCATGCGTGTAATCAATGTCTTATGTCCTTCAGCTTACACCCTTCCTTTTCAGTACGTGTGCAAGTACCTACTGGAAAGGAACTCTGTGAACGCTGTGATCATGGAGAAAGAGCCTCCCTTGGTGTCCACAAAACAACATGTACCACGGAGGAAAGCTCAGAATGTAAGGAGCACGGGAAAGCGTTCGCCAGCTCCGCGTCCCTTCACAAATGTGGGAGGCCTCATGCTGGAGAGAAGCCTTATGAATGTAGTGACTGTGGGAAAGCCTTCATTTTTCAGTCTTCCCTTAAGAAGCACGTGAGATCTCACACTGGAGAGAAACCTTATGAGTGTAATCACTGTGGAAAATCCTTCAGCCAGAGCTCTCATCTTAATGTGCACAAAAGGACTCACACTGGAGAGAAACCCTATGACTGTAAGGAATGTGGCAAGGCTTTCACTGTTCCTTCATCCCTTCAGAAGCATATGAGAACCCACACTGGAGAGAAGCCCTATGAATGCAGTGACTGTGGGAAAGCCTTCATCGATCAGTCATCCCTTAAGAAACACACACGGTCTCACACTGGAGAGAAACCTTACGAGTGTAGTCAGTGTGGAAAATCCTTCAGCACAGGCTCTTACCTCATTGTGCACAAGAGAACTCATACTGGAGAGAAAACCTATGAGTGTAAAGAATGTGGGAAGGCCTTTAGGAATTCCTCCTGCCTAAGGGTACACGTGAGAACTCACACGGGAGAGAAGCCCTATCAATGCGTTCAGTGTGGAAAGGCATTCAGCACCAGCACTAACCTTATAATGCACAAGCGAATACATACTGGGCAGAAAGTATGAGTGAAATGACTATAAGAAAGCCTTTATTGGGCCTTTACACCTCATTCCTCATTTTAGAATTCACACTGGAGAGCAGCCCTGTTGTGACCCATGTAGAAAGCCCAGGCACGATTCTTGACTTACGCTATAATGGGACCAATCTTATCGAATGTTATCCTTCCGTGATTGTCTTTATCAGTGAGTGTCTCATCCTGAAAGTGTGACAGCATGTTAACTGATGAGTATTAAAGGTTATATGGCACTCTAAATTCCCCTTAACCTACATCACAAAAATTTTGATAAATAATGTTTTCATCATAATTTAGTACTAAATGTCCAATTCTCATCAAGATGTCTTGGACCTATATGTTATTTAGAAATGTATTTTATAATGTGCAGACTCTGCATATTTTAGTTATTTTTTATAGATTTCTAATTTAATTGGATTATACACAAATGCGTGGTCTTCATGATACAGATTCTGTATGACATTATTCAAACAGAAAATTGTTGGAGACTTGCCATGTGGCCCAATGTGTCAGATACAACAAGTATTCCCGGATCCATTCCTCCCTCCCTTTCCTAAAGTAACAGAACTACAGTTGTATTCAAGTTGGCAGTGTGGACAGTTTTTTAAGGAACTCTCTCAACTTTCTTGGCCACCATGAGTTCCCATGAGCCCTTGGTTCTGGCCAGTGAGACATAGGCAGAGGTCATGGCTTATGGGTTCTAAAAAAGCCCATGGCAATGGGAGTATCTCAGCTGGCATCTTCACCATTTGCCCTGTGTTTCGTCTCTTTTTCTTTCCTAGAAAATAGACCAAGAGGATGATAGTCAGAGGCTACTGATTATACAACAGGGACATATAGTATTATTTGGTTGTACCAACCTTGGGTTGGTTATTTCTGGGCTTCATCTAACCCAAGAAAAATAAACTCCTAACTGATGTAAACCATCTGGAGGGAAGCTTCTGTTACAAGGGATTTCAGTTAGCTGATAACATCTCATATGTGGTCAAGTTTTATGACTCCCTTTAAGTGTGGTTGAAAACAATGCCTATTCTGTAATTGTATAATCAGTGTGCCTGACAGATGAATCTTTTGTGTTTTTAAAATTTGTATCACTACAGACCTTCTCTCCTCATTTGCCCTCTATTGAGAGAGGTATGTTAAATGTGTCACTATCACTGTGGTAGTCAGATTGTTTTTTTAAGTTCTGTCTCACTTTGAGGCACTATAGCCAGATGCATACAAATGTCATTTTATATTTCTTTTTTTAAAGATTTTATTTTATTTATTTATTAGAGAGAGCATGAGAAGGGTGAGGGGCAAGGGGGAGAAGCAGGGTCTCTGCTGAGGAGGGAACCTGATGTGGGGCTTGATCCCAGGACCCTGGGATCATGACCTAAGCCGAAGGCAGACACTTAACCAACTGAGCCACCCAGGAACCCCTGTCTTTTCATTCTTATATAGTGCCCATTTTTCTCCCCTAATAATGTTATAATTCACTTGGTATAAATGTAAACTATTGACCTAGCCTTTAACATTTTCTCCTTACCAGTATGTAAGGACAATCAGAAACAACTTACCTCTCTCCTCAGCACTATGTGGTGGTGTTCCCTGCAACACCAAGGGGGATCTCCTCAGCCACTACATTTCCTGTGGGAGACAAAGAGAACAGGAGGTCCTTAGCAGCCTTCCCTGCCAAGACAGCAGCAGCCCTCACATATGTCTCTGTTGTTCCTTGCTTCACTTCTGTGATTTGTTCCCCTGCCTACCTGGTTTCGTGTTTCATGGAAAAGGGGAAAGGGTAAGAACATTTTTCCCTGCTCTCCCTAAGAAACCTCAGGAGGTTTCTCAACTCAAACCAGTTTGTAAATCTCCTGGTCAATGTGCATGGGCTCTCAAGTGCCACTGCCTATCAACATGTAAGAGCATCTTGAAAACCAAATGTTGTAAAATTGGGATTTCCCCATATTGCTCTTTTGGAGAGACTCCAGTCCCTCTGAGGTTGAAAGGGATAGTCTAGAAAGGCAGGCCACTTCACATAGCAAAGGTCCACTCAGGACTCAGGAGTTTATAGGTAAATACCTAAAGAAAAAAAAAATGGGGAAAGACGAAAGACCAAAAGAAAAAAAGTATAGCTACAGGGGCTTTATGTGGCTACAAGTAATCCCTCCTTTCCCAAAGAGCGGGAACTTTAAATCTTGTACCAAGTAACTGTCAGGTCTAAGAAACATAATGTTAGTCTTCAATTGCTTACTAATTTAAAAACAATGAAAAATAAATCTATAGATACAGGGGAGAAAATAAAAGGTAAAGTAAGTTATATACATTTGTAACATTTAATATAGATATATATGTAAATTATAAAATGCACACAAAACTAAATTAAAACAAAGATCCATAATTTGAACCAATTGAAAACCTAGTTTTTAAAAGTTTATATGTTAAAAACTTACATAACAAGTTTTATATATAATTATATAACAAATATGTCACAAAAGTTATATATTAAAAATTTACATATCAAAAAAGGGGCACTAAAGCTTTTGAGCCTTCACAATGTAAATTCTAAATTAAACATAACATTGCTAAAATATACTAATTGACAAGGCTTCATAAATTGTAATCAATATTAGGGCTCAAGTGATAGTTATACCTGGGGACCCCACTAAATTTAAACATTTCTCCTATAATCATAAAAAATAATTTAGAAGAAAATAGGTGTACCTCACTGCAATTGTAGTCGTGTCTAAATTTCCCATAGTTATTGTACCCATTGCCCTAAAATATCCCATCTTAAGCATAGATGCCCTGACAACGATGAAAAATAAATAAAGGTCTTTGGCTTTATTCCTTGATAAAATGTGATTCCGTGGACACTTAGTTAAAATAATTAATATGCCTCAATATGTGTTAAAACTGGCCTAAGTTTTAAAACTTACTATATAAACATAACTAATAAAGAGGTGCTTATTTCTATGGCTTCTCCACTTAATAATTCAATTTTGCCTATTTCAAAACTTGAGAATAAATAAATAGCTATATCTTTTGGTTGTTAACTGAGTAAAGAGCAGTTAAGAGTTCCTAGACTGTGCGAATGGCACTGCTAGCCATATGTGACGAAGCACTGGAATGTTACTGCTTTCTATCTCTTACTTTAAACAAAAACAAATGGATCAAAGTCAACCATTAAGACAAAACTGCAAAATTCCTAGAAGAAAGCATAGGAGGAAAGTTTCCTGACATTGAATTTGGCAATGGTTTCTTAGATTTGATACCAAAAGCAATTTGCAATCAAAGAAAAAATAAATTGTAGCTTATCAAAATTAAGATCTTTTGTACTTCACAGGTCAATCATCATTTAAATACTTTTGTACTCCAAAGGACACATCAAGAAAGTGAAAGACAACCCATAGAATGGGAGAAAATATTTGCAATTCATACATGCAAAAAGCAACTTCTATACAGAATATATAAAGAATTCTTACTACTCAACAATAAAAAAATCCAATTTTAAAATAGACAAGAGATTGGAAGAGACATTTCTCCAAGGACATAACAAATAGTAACAAATACATGAAAAGATACCATTAGTCATCAGCATCACTGGTCAGTAGAAAAATGACCCAAATCACAAGGAGATACCACTTCTCACCACTTAGGATAACTAATATGTAAAAACAAAAATTAACAAGTGACATTGGGAAATAGGAACTCATACACTGATGGATAGAATGTAAAATGGTGCAGCCACTTTGGAAAACAGTCTGGCAGTCCTTTAAATATATAGTTACTATATGACCCAGCAATTCCACTCCTAGGTAGATACCTATGGTAATTTTATGTGTCAACTAGACTGTGTCATGAAATACCCAGATATCTCATTAAATGTCATTTCTGGTGGTGTCTGTGAGCATGTTTCAGGAGATTTGCATTTGAATCAATAGACTGAGCATAGCATATCACCCTCCCCAACATGGGTAGACATCATCCAATCCGATTTAGGGTCTGAATGGATCAAAAAAGCAGAGGATGACTGAATTCTCATTCTCTGTCTGATTGTTGAACTGGGATAGTGATCTCCTGCTTTTGGTGCTCCTGGTTTTCGGGCTTTGAAATAGGGACTGAAATCTATCCCGTGGGCAGCCTGGCTCTCAGGTGTTTGAATGGCACCACCTACTTTCATAGGTCTCTCGATTGGGGTGGTATATTGTGAGACTTTTCATCCTTCATAGTTATATAAGTAGTTCCTTACATAAAAGTCATGTATGCATATAATAAGTACATATAATGTATATTATATCCATTGTATGTGTGTATATATAATCTTTCTGAGCTCACCATAAAAAGTTAAGGGCTGTAGGTTCTATTTTTCTGGAGAATTGACTAATAACAATACCCAGGATAAATTAAAATATGTCTGCACACACACAAAAATATGTGAATGTTTAGAGCAGCATAACTCATAATACCCACAAAATGTTAACAACCCAAATGTGAGTCAACTGATAGATACGTAAATAACATGTGGTATATCCATAGGATGGAATAGCAGTCAGCAATAAAAAAGAATGATAAGCACTACAACACATATGAACCTTGAAAACATGCTAAGTGAAAAGAAGCTGTTAGCAAAGGATTTTGTGATTTCATTTACATGAAATGTCCAGAAAAGGCAAATCTATAGAGTCAGAAAGTACATTCATGGTTACCTACACATTAAGAGTGGAGGCAAATGGGATTATGACAGCCAAAGGGTACTTTTGGAGTGACAAAAAAAAAGTTCTAAAATTGTGCTATTTGCACAACTCTGGAATTTAATTCTAAAAAAATTGAATGTTAAAGTTTCAAATGCACAAATTGTAGGTTATGTGAATTATAGGTCAATAAAGCTGTTCCAAAAAACAAAAAAAAATCATGGTATAGCTGCATCATTAGAAGCATAAAAAATTTCTTGTCTCTGAAGCAACTAGAGCAGTAAGGTGCAACATATATTAGCTGCCATTATATTTTTACCACTAAATATTAGAACTTAATATTAAGATATTATAATTTTTAAAAGTATGATATGGGTATTAGTATTACTGGCACAGAAGAGTCTAGAAACGTATACCGACACATATAGGAATTTAATAAAGATGGAATTTCACATGACTAGGTCAAGAAAAGTTTACTGGTAAGTGGTGCCACAACTGGCCATCTTTTCTGGAGGAAAGAAAATAATTGGATCCACTACCCCACACCACATGGCGAAATAAACTCCAGCAGGATTAAAGATTTAAATGTCTTTAATTGGGGCACCTGGGTGGGTCAGTCGGTTAAACATCTGCCTTCAGCTCTGGTCATGATCCCAGGGTCCTGGGATTGAGCCCAGTGGGGGCGCCCTGCTCAGTGGGTAGTCTGCTTCTCCCTCACCCTCTTGGCCTTCCTCCTGCTCCTTCTCTCCCTCTCTCGCTCACTCTCTCAAATAAATAAATGAAATCTTTAAAAAAGTAATGTCTTTAATAAATGTAAGAAACAAATTCGGTATACTCTCACTCACTCAAATAAATGAAATCTTTTAAAAAAAGGTAATGTCTTTAATAAATGTAAGAAACAAATTCGGTATACAGCTTGAAGACATTTAAAGGCAAGAAACAAATTATTTTGGGGGTGCCTGGGTGGCTCAGTCGGTTAGACCGCTGTCTTCAGCTCCTGTCCTGGTCTCAGGGTCCTGGGATTGAGCCCCATGTCAGGCTGCCTGCTCATCAGGGAGTCTGCTTCTCCCTTCGTGCTTCCCCCTGCTCATTCTCTCTCTCAAATAAATAAAATCTTTTAAAAATTACTTTTAAAAAACAGATTCTTTGGCTACATACATTAAGTATTTTGTACAGCAACACATGAAACAACCTAGCAAAAATGTTATCAATAGATGCGTAAGACACATGTGATAATGCACATGAACAATTCTTAATAAAGTGTCTTATTAAAATCAGGGTTTAAACATCTTTATTAACTCCCCAAAGGCCATCCACTGAAAACCCCAGCAACCACAGAGAACATGATTACTGGAGAAACTTCAGATGTATTCCTGAGAAGTGAAGAATACCCGGTATCAATGCTATTTCAAAAAATAAAAAGAATTACACATTAGAAGGGGGGTGCACAGATTTGCAGAAAATGACATTACATTGAAAATACAAGGGAATCGGGCGCCTGGGTGGCTCAGTTGGTTAGGCGACTGCCTTCGGCTCAGGTCATGATCCTGGAGTCCCGGGACCGAGTCCCGCGTCAGGCTCCCTGCAACCCTCTTCCCTCTCGTACTCTCTATCTCTCATTCTCTCTCTCTCTAATAAATAAAATCTTAAAAAAAAAAATACAAGGGAATCACTTATTGGAGTTTAGCATGGTGCCCAAATAAAGACCTAAAGAAGGGACTGACTGGAGGAGCTAGACTTTAGGAACTGGCAAGAATGTCAGATAGGGGAAAATCCTTGTAAGGGGTCCAGGAACAAAGGGAGGGGCAGGCAGCAACCCCGTGCTTGTCTTGAGGTCGGAGCCCAACCGCACGCTCGCCCTTCCATCTTAAATATTCAGTCGGAACAGGCACTGGGTGTGTTCCCACCTATAGCCACGCCCTCGGGAGTAGGCCCCGCCCACGGCGCTGGTTCTAACTTCCGCCAAGTCTCCGAGCCCCTTCCGTCCCCGGCTCCCGCGCCTGGGCCACCCCGACCCGCCCACACCCACGCGGGAGAAAACGAGCTTTCCCGCCTGATGTGGTCGGATCGGGAGGATGGCCGGAAAGCGGGGACCGCCCCTTCCGGCCTCAGGCAGGAAGCGGAAGTGGGGTCACGGAGGCGCCGGGGGCTTTTCCGTCGCTGGCCTGGTTTCGCTTTGGCCGTGGGTCTGCGCAGGCCAGCTTCTGGAGGCCAAGGCGAGGGAGAGGGAAGGGGTTGGAAGGTGGCAGTTAAGGACGAGGTTGTGCCGGGCCTCCCGGGAGCCGGCTTAAAGAGACCTGGCGCGTGGGGCGCCTGGCGGGCTCAGTCGGTGGAGCGTGCCACTCTTGATCTCGTGGTCGTGAGTTCAAGCCCAGCTTTAGGTGTAGGGATGACTAAAAAAAAATAAACTTTAAAAAAAAGAGACCAGGCGCGCACCGCTGTCTTCCGCTGGGAGTGTCCTCGGGAGTAGCTGGACCGGGAAATGTAAGGACGCTTTTGGGGTTCGGCTCATATACTGCTTCCCTCTTAAGTAGCCTGCAGAGCAACCTTTGTAACTTTTCTCCAGGGGGAAAAGAGCTTCCGCCTGTCGAGTTGGTAGACTCTGGCTGTGTCCGCGCGTCCTCACCGACCACGCGGTTCCGGTTCATTCCGGTGAGCACTGTTGGGGGGAGCTGGTTCCGACGGGTCTGTTTTCCTATTGGATGCAAAGGAATGTTTCACCTGACGGTTTGGCTTTATTTTTGCGCGTTCTCTACTTTGGACACATTAGGTTTAAGTAGGAAGTTAATATACTTTCTTAGATGTCTATGGTGTGCGTATTTCTGCAGAGAAGTGGAAGCATATGTAGACCACAAGTCTTTTTACTAAAGAGAAGCAAGAATACTCACCTGTCTCTTCATCTGAACTTCGTAAGACTACAGTCCCACAAAACTCTACACCACGGGCCTCTAACAAAAACAGAGGGAGGCTTTTTTGTCCTAGTTCTTGAATAATTGAACTTCACAGTAACAGGATATTTAGACTTAATATATTTTTTCCTTTGAAAAATCTTAAACCTAAATAAAATATGAATATACAGTACTATGAATTTCCATTGAGTGGACTCAACCACTTCTAGCATTTTGCATGTTTGTCCTCTAGATAAAGAAGTACATTTTTTGGTGAACGGTATGAGAGAGTAAGTTGAAAAATAAATTGCAGGCAGGATACTTGGCTTTTAAATACTTGGTGATGTATCTGCTAAAGATAAGGACATTTTGCTAATAAAACCACAATAGTGTTATTTCCCCCATGAAAATTTGAAATAATAATGTCCTCTATCCACTCTGACAAAAGTGAAATCCTCCATATTGTTCCAAAATAAGCTTTTGGGTGTTTTTGGATCTAAGATGCAGTCAAAGATTATATATGGCAATTTTTTGTCTTTTAGTCTCTTAACCTACAGCATTGGCTATTGTTCTCCATTGTCTTTTTGAAAAGTCACATGTTCTTTTAGAAAGTCACACATTTTGATAACTTCTGTTTCTTAATTGAGATATAATTGACATGACCTTATATTTCAGGTTGTATAGCATAAAGATTCGATATTTGTTTATATTCGGAAATGATCACCACAGTAAGTCTTGTTAACATCCATTACCGCAGGTGGTTACAACTTCTTTTCCTTGTGATGAGAACTTTTTAGCTCTTCTCTCTTAGCAACTTTCAAATATGCAACACAGTGTTACTGTAGTCTCATAGTAATGATAGTCATGTACCTAGGACTTATTTTATAATTGGCAGTTTGCCCTTTTTGACAATCTTCACCAGTTTCTCCACCCCACTCACACCTCTGACAACCACTTTTGCTGTGCAAAAGTTTTTTAGTTTGATGCAGTCCCACTTGTTTCTTTTTGCTTCTGTCGCTTTTGCTTATGGTATCAAATCCAAAAACTCCTCGCCAAGACCAGTGTGTCGGAGAGCTTACTACCTTTGTTTTCTCCTAGGAGTTTTATGGTTTACGGTCTTAAATTCAAGTGTTTAGTCTCTTTTGAGGTAATTTTTGTGTATGGTTCAGTTTCATTTTTTACCTGTGGCTGTCCAGTTTTCCCAACATCATTTCCTTTCCCCATTGTATTTCTTCTCTCCTTTGTCATAAATTAATTGACCATATTTGCACGGGATTATTTCTGGGCCCTCTGTTCTGTTCCTTGATCTATGTATCTTTTTGTGCCCATACCATACTGTTTTGATTACTGTAGCTTTCTAGTATAGTTTAAAATCAGGCATCCAGGATGTGATGCATCCAGCTTTGTTCTTTCTCGAGATTGCTTTGGGTATTCATAGTCTTTTGTAGTGCCATACAAATTTTAGGATTGTTTGTGCTGTTCCTGTGAAAAATGTCCCGGGACTTTTGTGATAGAGATTCCCTCTATACCCACTTTATTGAGAGTGTTTATCATGAGTGGGTATTGAATTTTGGTCAAATGCTTGTTCTGTATATATTGACATGATCATGTGATTTTTATTCATTTTGTTAATGTGGTTTATCATATTGATTCATTTGCAGATACGGAACCACCCTTGCCTCCCTGGATAAATCCCACTTGATTGTGGTGTTTGATCCCTTTAATGTGTTGTTTAATTTGGTTTTGCTAATATTTTATCGAGGATTTTTGTATCTATGTTTATTAGGGATGGTGGCCTGTAATTTTCTTTTTTTGTGGTTTATTTGTCTGGTTTTGGAATCAGGGTAATGCTGGCCTCATAAAATAAGTGCACAAGTGTTCTCTCCTGTTTTTCAGAAGAGTTTGAGAAGGATTGATACTCATCTTTAATTATTTGGTAGAATTCACCAGTGAAGCCTCTGGTCCTGGACTTTTGTTTACTCAGGTTTTTGATTCTTGATTCTCTTTAATCAGTCAGCTCAAATTTTCTGTTTCTTCATGATGAAGTCTTAGTAGGTTGTACGTTTTTTAGAATTTATCCATTTCTCATAGGTTGCCGAATTTTTTTACATATGGTTGTCCATAGTAGTCTGTTAGGATCCTTTACACTTCTGTGGTATCAATTGTAACACCTCCTCTTATATATTTAATTTGACCTCTCTTTTTTGTGTGTGAGTCTAGCTAAAGGTTTCTCTATTTTGTTTATCATTTCAAAAATTCAGCTCTTAGTTCTCTTGATCCTTTCTGTTGCCTTTTTTGTCTGTCTCCTTTCTGATCAATGTTCTTTTCTTCCTTCTACTACTTTTGGGCTTCATTTGTTCTTTTCAAGTTTCTTGAGGTGTAAAGTTAGGTTGTTTGTGAGCATTTTGGTATTTATGACTTTGTTTTCCTGGTTTAAATGTTTACTCCATTTCTGTTATTTCCTGACAGTTGGTAATAGGGTCCAGAACAGTGGTTGGTGAACTCTGTCTGAAAAGGACCAAATAAAAAGTATGTTTTGCTTTGCAGGACAAAAAGTCTCAAATTAGTCCTAGCTTTGTAGTGAAGAAGCCATAGATCTTAGTAAATGAATGGGTATAGCTGTTTCCCCATAAAACTTTATTTACAAAACAGGCCTGTGACTGTTTTACTAGCTCCTGGTCTAAAGGCTTCAAAGGATCAATTACAAAATACTTGTAGGTGATGTTGTGTATCTCAAGTTACATTTCATCATGAAGACAGATTGGTATCATCTTCCTGTTAGTGATGCTGTGTATGATTACTTAAGGTAGCAATCACCTGGACTGTCTATTTAAAGCTAGACTTTGCCTCTTGAAGAAGAAAGTACAGGCATACCTCAGATACATCACAGTTTTGGTTCTGTATCACTGCAATAAAGCAAATATTGATAAAATGAGTCAAATTAACTTCCTGGCTTCCCAGTGTATATAAAATTTACATTGACAGTATACTGTAGTCCTTACCTGTGCAATAGCGTTGTGCCTAAAAGAACAGTACACGGGGTACTGGCTGGCTCATTCAGTAGAGCATGTGACTCTTGATCTTGGGATTGTGAGTTGTAGCTCCTCCATGTTGGGCATTTAACTTACTTAAAAAAAAAAAAAATCTGGGGAAGCATAAGGAACAAATTTAAATTTTAACTGCAAGGCACCTGTTTTCAAAATATCTGCTCCACCTCCTTCCTGAGTAACAATACTCAAATACATTTTTAGAAGTACAGTGTTTTGGCTTATATTGTATTGGGCACAGTCTATATAATTCCTATTTAATTTTTTTGTTGTAGTGCTATTATGGGGGAGACTTCAATTTGTACATGCATATACTGTACCATTTTTATGGGGAATGGCAATACTCTTGACAGTCCACAAATGATCATTGAATAACCTTAATGAGCTAAGCTACGTGCCAGGGGCAGGTAAGTAATGGCCATCGAAGCAAAGATAGTACTGCCACTATGGGCCTTACATTCTATTTAGGAAGACGGATTTTAAAGATTTTATTTATTTGTGACAGCACAAGCAGGGAGGGGGGAGACAGGGAGAGGAAGAAGCAGACTCCCCACTGAGCAGAGACCCTGACACAGGACTCCATCCCAGGACCCCAAGATCATGACCTGAGCCGAAGGCAGATGCTTAACCAACTGAGCCACCCAGGCGTCCCTGTGTATGATTTATTAAAGTTTATTCATTTTAATAAAAAGGAGTTAGACTTAAAATATTGAATGTTAAAAAACAAACATGAAGGAAGTCTGTGGAAGAATGAAGAAACATTAAAAGCAAATTAGAAAAAGGAACAGATACAAAATATGAAATGGTGGTTGTCTGAAAAGACACATAAAATGCACACATGTTGAGCAAAGTGTGGCATGGCACTGCCCCTCTCCCAAGGCAAGAGGAAGCACACATCTGTTGATTTGAGGTTCCAACCAACACCTGTGGGAGCTTCTCAGCACTTTAACATATTTTGAGTTATTTCGTAAAAACTTTGGCATTCCGTTTCTAATCTTTTTAGGTTAAATATGGAAGAGCTAATGATTCCCTTTTTCTCCATTGTCTTGCCCAGAAACCAACAGAATGTATGTGGGATGTGTGTACAGGACACCTTTTTTTTTTTTTTTTTGAGATTTTATCTCCATTTGACAGTGAGAGAGGGAACACAAGCAGGGGGAGTGGGAGAGGGAAAAGCAGGCTTCCCACTGAGCGGGGAGCCCGATGTGGGGCTCGATCCCAGAACCCTGGGAACATGACCTGAGCCAAAGGCAGATGCCCAATGACTGAGCCACCCGGGCACCCCAGGACACCCTTTTTTTCCCCCACCTGTGTATTTTCCCATGTCACTTATGAATTGATATGTCAATTATTACTTTATTGTCTATCTTCTACAATAGGAATGTTGGATCTTTTATGCCTGGGACATTTTCTGTATATGTAACTGTTCTCATTAGCATCTGCCACAGACATAACATTTACTGAAAGGAAAAAAGGAATAAGTCAGCAGTAAGAATTGAAACGGACAAGAGCTTCAAACTTCATCATCCAATGAGGCAATCTCAGTGGTATTAATCAAAACAAAAATTTCTTTTTTCTTCCTTTATATGCCCAGCAGCAGTCTCAACCAGTGCTGTCCAATAAAAGTATGTGTAGACCATGTATATAATTATTTTCAGTATCTACAATGAACAAAAATGAAAAAGTTAAGATTATTTTGAAGAATATTTTACTTCTTTATGTAATAGTTACTAAAGCATGCATTCAGTACCAAAAATTGAGATATTTTGCATTATTTTCTTCAAAGTTAAATATGTATTGGACAAGGGCGCCTGGGTGGCTCAGTCGTTAAGCGTGCCTTCAGCTCGGGTCATGATCCCAGGGTCCTGTGATTGAGCCCCGCATCAGGCTCCCTGCTTGGCAGGAAGCCTGCTTCTCCCTCTCCCACTCCCCCTGCTTGTGTTCCCTCTCTCGCTGTGTCTCTCTCTGTCAGATAAATAAAATCTTTAAAAAAAAATTTATTGGACACTAAATTTTTATCAGATATGCTTGATTTGTGTTTAGATCATTACAGTTGAAAGAGTAGATTCATACTTAAAATCTTTAAAAATAAAAAAAGATGGGGGAAGGGTGCTTGGCTGGCTCAGTGGATAGAGCGTGTGATTCTTGATCTCAGGGTTTTGATCTCAACTCTACATGTTGGGTGTAGAGATTACTTAAAAATAAAATCGTTAAAAAAAAGTAGATTCAGATATACAGATTTTTCCACACACATATATGTGAGCTAAAAACTCCTAGTGAGACATCTGATACATAATGGCCCTCAGTTAATGGCAGTTGATATTAATAATCTTTTGTACACCATGTTTTAGCAGCTTTCATGCATGTCATCTGCACAGAAAAAGTAATTGATCCTGTTGAACCATTACTAATCAGTATTTTTTATTAATTAATATGAACCCAACTCCAAATAACCTGATCTCCAGAGGGATGGAGATGGCCCTATCCACTTATATTCCGAAGCTGCTCTGAAATGATCTTGGTTTACATAGTGCATCATTCAAGCAGATTTCACCCTTAGCTTTGCAGGATGATGGTCTGGGGTATGTCCCATGATAAGTCCTTATTAATGCCCCTTTTCAGAGATTCTGCCTTAGGTTCTGCCTGCACAATATAGAGTCCTGAGGTCAGAGCCTGAGCAGTGCTTCTGGTTCATCTAAGAAGAGCTGGAGTGGGCCAGAAAATGCTCTTCTGTATGTCAGGTTCCTGTTATGTGTACATGGGGTAGAGTTGCTGCATAATCTCATTAATTTTATTGCCTTCACAAAGGAAGAGTCACATTACTCAAGACCTAAGTGTATGTACCTGTGAAATGAAACCATGACTCTCCAGATCACATCTCTGTATAGGTTTCTCTGATGGTGTAGTAAAGTCTGCTTCTCTTTGGTGAAGTCCACAGGCACATCACTGAAGATCACTAAATTCTAAACTCACATATGTGCTGGCTTTAATTAAAGTAACATTTCCATCAATCTTCACTGGGGAATGAAGACAGGAGACGCACTGGCAATAGAGGGTTTCAAAGTCTCTCTTTATTAATTTTCCCCAAGGCACAGTGTTCCTTGCATGAACCAGGCTAATGGGCCATCTTGGACAAATTCTCCCCCCCCTTTATTTTTTAAGATTTTATTTGAGAGAGAGAGCACGTGCACATGTGTGTGAGCACTAGCAAGGGGAGGGGCAGGGGAAGAAGCAGACTCCCTGCTGAGCAGGGAGCCTGATGCAGGTCTTGATCCCAGGACCATGGGATCATGACCCGAGCTAAAGGCAAATGCCCAACTGACTGAGCCACCCAGATGCCCCTGAACAAATCCTCCTTGAGGACCATTCTGTGACTTCAGCTCTTCTTGCACACAGCAACCCCCAAATTATTCCCCCTTTGTTTAACCACACCCTTCAGTATACCTTCAGGGCATAATGTCCTTGACCTGCCCTGGAGATATGACTATGGCACACATCCATTGTGAAACATTCTCCTCTGTGTGGTACCCCAGCATGTATTCCCAGCCTCTAGGGCTATAATAACATATCTTAAGGGTCATGGGGTTGTGGAGACCTTTTTGTCTTGTGGCTGCCCATGGGACACTTCTGTCTGTGAGTCCTCTTAATAAACCATTTCTCATCAAAGTACACTTGTCTGCCTCCTTTGGTCTTACATCTCCTTTGGCCTTTGGAGTTTGTTTGCATATACCTTTCAGAAAACAGTCCTAAATACTCTTCTCTCTGTTGGGAATTCACTCATGGTTGATATACTTCAGTCCTGGCTTTAATGAAACCTCTAAGGCATAAACAATACAAGTCTAAAAGCTCTTGTCCAATTTTCTTGCAGCAAACTCCTGAGAAAAGAGACACCTGTAAGCACTGATGAATGTATAAACTGTTTGAGGAATGCACACTTTCAGCCTCATCATGTCAAAGCACCAAAATAACATGCAGTCACCATTATGAAATGCAAATACTGAGATGATTTGGTATTCTCTCCTCATTCTGATAGACTCCACTTTGTGAGAAAATTCGACAGGGCTCAGAGTGGCTCTGTTCCTTTAGGAAGCTGTGGAAACAGGTCTCCCTAGAAGGAAATGTATGTACCTGGTGGATGTATTATGTCATTTTTGTTGAAGGACAAACTTTTTTCTTACCTGAGAAGAACCTGTTAAACACTCAGTCTTCATCTTTTCTGCCGCTGTTCTTGTTTCAAGAAAGAAGAACATGTCCTTAGAAGGAAAACCTAGTAGAAAAGAAAGAAGACTGAACACCAGAGATGACTATACTTGCCACATTCACCTGACTGGAATTCATTCCATTCTAGCTTGAAATTCCTGAATATTTCTCTGCATTCAAGTAAATCCACACAAATAGACACTACTGCCGTACAGTGCCACAGTGGTCCTCTCTCACCTGTAGCCAGGGAAGGGCACTGTGAGCCATGCTGCCCTTCAAGAAGAGAATCATGGTGTTTAATTTCATAGAGCCATTTTTTTCACCAACTCCTTAATATCATTACTAAATTGTTGACATAGCCAAACTCTTCAAATCTATTGTACTGTTTTTTGGCATGTTTAATTTTGTAACAAATTCAAATGAACCTCACTATTTTTAACTCCTTTAACCTACATTTATTTCTACAATTTCTTATATTTGTTATTCTCTCTTACTTTCAAACAGGAAATACAGCATAAAACCAAACATTCAGTAATTCGGCAGGATATTTAAGGGAGAAAAAACATCCGATAGGATAGGAACAGTAAAATCACTAAGTTTATAAAGCCATATTTTTTATTTTCCATATTTGGAAAAGATTGAGATTTTCCTTAGATGGACCATTAGCCCAAGTGATAGATATTTGAGATAAGGGACATTTTCCAAAGACAAAACAATGTTTCTTGTGAGATATTCTCAGTGTGATGAATCTGGGGATATACTAAACCTACCTTGAAACTTGTCACTTCACAATTCCCACAAGTATTCATTCCCACATATATAAATGGATGTTGAATTTTAAAACAATTCCATGAAACGAAAGGACTCCCTTTAGGATTATAGGAGGTGGCCCATCATGCTGGCAGAAGGAGTCCATCAACCAGCTGGAAAGAAATGTACAGGGCAGGAGGTGTGTGAATGCCCTGGAAATGATAAGAATCCTAATCAGCATGGTAATGCTATTTCTATTTTGAGATGGGTAGGATCAATTAATGAGTCTCAGAAATCTTTGAAGCATCATTCGTCCATTCCCTGACAGGCAAGAAGCCATGTTGAATGGGAACTCTCTGTGAGCAACATGGAAAAGACTTTGGTGAGTGCTCATGCCTTTAGACACACAGGAGAACTCAAAATGGAGAGAACACTTATGAGGATAAGGACTATGGAAAGAGCTTCCTTTCTCTGCAGAAGGAAACCTGTAATGGAGACAGACTTTCTGGGTTTAATCAATACAGAAAAACCCATCTACCTGACTCCAAATATTCTGTACTGGAAAACCAGCACCCAAGAAAAAGCCTTCACATGCGGTGACAGTGGGAAGACCTTCCGTGATCAATCTTACTTCAAAGCACAAATGACAACTCATGATGGAGAAGAAAGTCTATGAAAGCAACGTAGGTGAGAAACCTGTTCTTCACGAGGGTGCATGAAGAAACTTGCACTGCTAACAGATTTATGAATGTGAGGAATGTGAAAATATTCCATGTGTGCAAACTGTTACATATACATGTGAACTGACATGAGAGAAACCCTATAAATGTAAGGAAGTGGGAAAGCCTTTATTACATCTTCCAATTTTAAGAGACATACAAAATCTGATACTGGAGAGAGTACTTTTGTATGTAAAGAATGTGGAAAGTTTTAAAAAATTCCTCATGTCTTAATCACATTTGAATTCACGCTGGAATAAAGTATTACCAATGTAAGGAATGTGGGAAAGCCTATACTGCATTCTCAAAACTTACTGAACTTACCCAAGCTCACACTGGAGAGAAGCCTTTTAAATGTAACAAACATGGGAAAGCCTTCACTACTTCCTCACGTTTTATGAATCCTCTTAGAACTCACGATGGAGAGAAACACTATGAGTGTAAGAAATGCAGGAAAGGTTTTATTGATGTCTCAAAAGTAGCAAGACCTTGAAGGATTCATACTGGAGAAAACCCTGATAAATGTAAGGAATGTGGGAAAACCTTCATTAATTCTTTTTCTCTTAGTAAGCATAAAATATTGCACTCTGGAGAAGTAACGTGAATGTAAGGAACGCAGAAAATCCTTCCAAAATTATTCATGTTTTAATCCATTTGAATTCAAACTGGATTAAGACCCTATGGATATAAAGAATGTGGGAGGGCCTAAGTGCATCCTCAAGCTTTACTGAACATATAAAATCACACGCAGGAAAGAAGCCTTTTAAAGATTATTTATTTTAGGGTGAGGGAGGGACAGAGCGAGAGGAAGAGGGAAAATATCCCAAGCCGATTCCATGCTGAGCATGGAGCCCAACACAGGACTTGATCTCAAGACCTATGAGCTCACGACCTGAGCTGAAACCAAGAGTCAGGCTCTCATCCAACTGAGCCACCTGGGCGCCCTGAGAAGCCTTTAAAATATAACAAATGTGGGAGACCTTTACTACTTAAATCATACTCACCTTAGAATCATGCTGGAGAAAAGTGTAATGTGTGGCAGAAGGCATTTGCCTGTTATTCATGCTTTATCACTTACAGACATGCTCACACTAGAGAGAAGCCTTTCAATATAAGGAATACATAAAAACCTTTACTTTTTCCTCAAGATTAACTTAAACATGTTAAGAATTCATACAGAAGGGAAACCCTATAAGTGACACATTTCTCAGTGATGTGCCTTTCAAAACATACATGCAAAGAAACCCAGAATGTAAACACTTTGAGAAGGTCTTCCAATTATTCCAATTAATATTAGATGAATGAAAATTCACCCTTATAAATGTTAAAACTGTGGTGCAACCTGCGGTTCTCCCCAGTTCCTTTAACTGTCATGAAAGCACTCACCCTGGAGAGAAGTCCCATCAATGTAAGGAATGTGCTAAAGACCTCAATACTCCCCACTGACTTTGAAGATACGAGAGAAACAAACTGGAGGAATGGTCTCCATGTGTAAAGACTGTGGTAAAGACATCAATCTCCTGAAAACCCAGTATGCTAGCTCTCACAGTGAAGCCGTGGTGTAAGAAACATCTAGAGCACTTTACTGTTTCCTCAGTGAAATATATTCCTTAAATGTGGTAGATCCTGCAGTGCAGAGAATCTTCTATATGATAGGTGGGAAAACTTCATCTCCTGAATTCCTCAAGGTTCACTTGTGATCTCATTGTGCAGTATGCTCCATTGGTGTAAGATATTTGTTATTTTACATTAGATAATTCCTCATCCTTAAACACAAAGTGGCTCACACTCAAGAGAAACTATGGAATGCTGGAAATTATACTGAGTCAGAATCTTAGGTTCTGCTGGGGCGCCTGGTTGGTTCAGTTGTTTGGGCATCCGACTCTTGGTTTCAGTTCAGGTTGTGATCTCATGGGTCTTGGGATTGAGCCCTGCTTCGGGCTCTGCACTCAGGAGGGAGTCCCCTTGGGGATTCTCTCCCTCTACCTCCCCCCAACCCCAACTCGTGCTCACTTGCGCTCTCTCTCTCAAATAAATCTTTTTTAAAAACAAGAATCTTATGTCCGTTGACAGGCATTAGCCTTGTGGGTGGTTGTAAGATCTGTTTTAAACATTCATCATTGTGTCCCAACCTTTTCTGGGGGCATGATGTATCTTTGCCCTGATTGGCCAGGCCAAGCTAGTCGCTGCACCTTCCACCTTGCAACCTGCCCAAAAGTGGGCCTACACGAGTCACATTTTATTGTCTTCTACCCACCTGGATTCTCTTACTGGATTGGCATGGTCTTACATTTCAAGCATGGGGCCTGCATCACTGTTAAAACTGCGCATTGAGTCCATCTACACTGAACCACACTGGCCAGGGTAGGGGATGTAAAACGTGTCTGTCCGTTTTGGAAAGAAGACCTTGTGTCCCTTTCTCACCCGATCCTATCTCGAAATCTCAGGATGAAGCATGGGATGACTGGAGAAAAGGTGAGATTACAGCTAGTAATGTGAGGCAGCATGAGCACATGCCCTGTGAACACCACCCTCCTAACTGGGGGGGCCCTTCTGCTCAAGTTGTACAGCAAGAGGGTGAGAATAATGAATGTGCTCTTCCACCACTACATCCAACACCACAGCCTGGCAAAACAACCCTAACATCTTTGTAGCTCAAGCAACAGGTGTCACAGTTGTCTGTCATTCCATCCATGTGCTGTGAAAACAGCCTCAGTGATACAAATTCATATAGCTCTGATGCCCAAGCAGCTTTCGGTTGGATTATGTCATGCGTGGCCATCCGGGTGCAGCTTCTTGATGACACTCTTTGAGGCTTAATGAAACCATTGTGATGATAATCCAAAGCAAGCCTCCCACGTCTTACAGCTTCAGTAGATGTTATCTGTACACCTTTTTCTCTTGCTCTCATTCACTTTTTTACCTGGGAAGAATGTAAACCCCTGATCACTCTCCCTCGGCCGTTTGTTAGATGGGGCTTTGCATTGTGGAAACTTGAGAAATGATAAAGAGCAGGCTCACTTTACTACTTCAAATACACTAGGTTCTACAAGCTCAGCATTCTCCTTCAGCACCTGGGCCCTTTGGAACCCCTGAGAGAGAGGGGGACAAAGGGAGCCAATTTACACATGCTGATGCTTATGCTACTGGCCATACCATCAGTCAGTTATGGCCTTTGTCTCTGATGTCAGTGTCTCAGCTCCTCTGCCCACATCCATGAGATAGTGACAGGCTAACTTAATACCTTGGAAGGGAAAAATCAAATCACACGTTCAAGAACTTTGGTAATGGGAATGACATTTTAATAGAGTCATGCTTTTCTGGGAGAGGGAAACAGTGGTGGCCAGGCTATCTGCAATGCAGTAATGAAATTTCTTCTACAAGAGGTTTCCTCATGAGCTGAGCAAGAGGGGAATAAAGGCCCTACACTTCCTACTTCATGAAGTTGGTTAAGTACTATAGTTGTATCAGCTTGTTTTTCCTTCATTTGTTAATCTCCCTGTACGAACTGTATGTGGAGCTTATCTATTTGAAATATTTTCAAATCCTTTTCTTTCATTTGGAACATTAGTCCATAATATAACGTAATTACTAATAAATATGGGTTTACGTCTAGCATCTCTTTTTCAGTATTTATCGCCCTCCTAATTCATAAACTAGTATATTGCCCCTATTCCATCAACCTCGTATACAGGCCTTTATTTCCCCTTATTTTTATGTTGGACACAATGGTAAACTCTAATCATTGATTCTTTGCTTTCAATGCAATGATATTTTGTAAATCTTTCATATTTTTGTTCACATTTTGTGAAAAAGCACTGACACTGGGCATTCTTCCTTTATTCAAGAATGGTTCTAAAATTACTCCATTAACCATGTTTACTGTGATTTTGAGTGGACTGTCTTTGTACAGTTAATATCTTTTAAAACACTGATTTTTTTTTTTTTTTTTTTAGATTTTGTTTATCTATTTATTTGACACAGAGGTCACAAGGAGGCAGAATGGCAGGCAGAGAGAAGCAGACTCCTGGCTGAGCAGGGAGCCCAGTGTGGGACTTGATGCCAGGATCCTGGGATAATGACCTGAGCCCAAGTCAGACACTTAAACTGAGCCACCCAGGAGCCCCTAAAACGCTGATTTAAACATATTTCATCAAGACTTGTTCATGGGCATCATTAAAAGTTTTATATGCATCTACTGTATTGATATCTATTTTGCTACATTAGTGTTTCATGTTTTACTGCACAAATCCTTTTTTATGTGTAAGTGTTTTTAAAAATTGTATCTGGAGGGGCACCTGGGTGGCGCAGTTGGCCATCCGATTCTTGGTCTCAACTCAGGTCCTGATCTTAGGGTCGTGGGATCGAGCTCTGAGTTGGACTCTGC